ACATTTGGAAAATTATTAGTACTAACAAGCATATTTTCTAGGATGTAAGTCACTGTACATGAGTTTGCCCTTGTGTAAACAAATGATCTCTTGATTTTAGTATGTGGTTTTACCAAGCAAAAGAGATCATTTGAATATATAAAAATCTGTATGTATTTCACATATATTTAAGTTATACAATCTTCAATTCTCTATAACTAAGTATTAAATAATTATTTACAAAATTCACTTAAATTACGTTCTTGCTATCTAACCTAGAACCGGAAACAATTTGTTTACTTAATTCATTATATCTCCAATAAAATGTATAATCGTAATAACATGCAATGCAAACCTTTAAAAAACCATTTATAGAATTAATATTAATAATCAAAAGACTGATATTTTTTGTACACACTTATGACAAAAAAAAAAAAAAAAAAAAAAAATATACACACTTCAAAAATACTTTTTTGCATTTTCTTCCTAGAATTAATATTATTTAACTAAAATACTATTTTATAAAATCAGGACGTTGGCAACTATTATTAAAACTTATAAAACACTTTTAACAGTTTGATGTTGTCTTTAATCTTTTGAAGATTCCTCCAATATAATTTCGTTAAATCATAGTGTGTAGTCGCCAAATAAAAAAAGCAGAATAGTCAAATGGACGTAGTGTTAGATAATATGTGCAAAAGAAATTTTGAGATGCATGATTTGTTATTTTTTAGGTTCTACTCAACACATTCAAATGAACTGGTAAAAAATAATTAGAAAAACTCCTAAAAAATATTTAAGTTAGAAAACAATAGTGATTTGTACTATTTGAGTAAACGTTGTACTAACAAATATATACCATATTATTTGTATCAGTCACTCAAATAAGAATCATGCATTTCAAAATAATTAATGCACATGTAGAATTAGTCGAATGTTTTACGCAGCTGTTGAATCCACTAAAAGTTTGTGCTAACTTAAAGACGACGTTTCTATTAATTTTAGTTCCTTCTTCAGCTTTTACCGCGGCGATTCTCCGTAGCTTAGACACGTAGTTGAAATTTCATGAATGTTAACAAACTATTCGTTTTTACTAGTAAACCAATTAGAGTTTTTTGTTTTTAAATGTTTACCGCGACGTGTCCTTTAATATATACTAATCGTCATTTTTTTCGTTTTTGTAGATTTTATGTGGTCGCTGGGAGCCCTTCCTGACGGTAAGTTATTTTTATTTTTTTGAATTTGGTGTAAAATATATTTAGGTTAAGTATACGTTCTCCATTGAAGCATTTTTTAGTAATAAAAAAATAAAGTTCGTGTAACCTTCTGGCTGAGGTCTTGGGTTAGAGTTTTCAGGTCTCGCAAGCGCCCCTAACATAACTTAATTACCACTTGCATAGCTAGAATCGATGACTTTACGTGTCTTCTAAAGCACGGTAACGCCTTAGTTAAATAAGAAATCGAAAACTGTGTCTTCTTTTTCTTCTTCTTTTATGTAGACATCACTCTGTCTGTTTTTCAATGTGCCTCCAGTAAGTTGTCGTTCCATCGTTTTCGTAGTCTTCCTAGCTCTCTCTTTGTAGCTCTGTCCCATAGTATTTTACTATTAATTTTTCTAAATGTTTTTATCTCTGCTGTTTTTGTCCCCTTCGTGTCAGGTCTTGTTTCTGTAGCGTGTGTCATTATTGTTCTGATAACTGTTTTCTAAATTCTGCCTTTCATTTCTTTCCCTATATTTTTATTTTTTCATATTGTTTTATTCAGGCAACCACTGCTGAATTTACTTTGCATCTATTTTTGCTGCGTTTGCTCTATTTACTTCTGTATTCCACTTCAGTGTCGAGCTTTCCGTAACTAGATAATGTAATGCCTAGATATTTAAACTCTATCATGTTACATCTGTTTTGAGAAGCTCTGCCAGTGTTCCCTTTTTATTTGTCTAACTAAAATATTCGTTTCGTTTCTGATTCGTTTATATTGGTTATACTGAAAACTTAGTCACTGTTGGGATTCGAACCCGGGTACTCAAGCTTGTTAAGCCAATAACATAGCAACTGCACTACTGCCACCCTCGACCATTTTGAGGAATATTTAACGTGTTGATAATTTGTTTTTAATTGATTTACCTGGTTTTATTTGATTCATGTTTATTTATTATTTCTATTCACGATTACTTGTTTTAAAAATTTTCAATAAATATAGCAGAACTTTTTAGCTTTTTCGTTTATAAAACTTAGATGGGGTTGGACACTTTTCCTTTCTTTGTTTTATATGGTCTTACTTGTCTTATATAAGATCCAAAATTATGCTTTTTACAATATTTTTAAGACATGCCAGTTTACTATTATTTACGGGTATATTAATATCCATCTGCCTACTTTACAGCTTCTTTCTTAAAATGTAACTTTTTTTCGTGAGTAATCAAACAGTAATATTTTCATTATTTTTCATAACCTTGGCCAGAAGTTTGTTTAAATTTGTGTTTGTTTTGTAGTCTGAACAGTGCTATTGCCATATTTTGGCAATAATCTTAAATTTAACTAAAATGTGTCTATCCTAATAGGCCTCTTTCTTTTTCTTTTTGTAGCATTTTCTCGTCCATTTTTGGACATAGACCTCTCCTAACTCCTTTCATCGATCTCTATCCTAAGCAACATACTTCTAATTTATCCCGGCCACTCTTTTGATGTCTTCTATCTATCTCATCTGTGGTCTTCTTCTTGGTCTTCTACCGTTAAAGGGTCCCCAATGTTGTATTATGGCGTTCCAACGTTGGTCTTTTTGTTTAGCAATGTGACCTTCAAATGATCTTACTCAGTCGTTTCCCTTTTTATCTATATTTATTTTTATTATTATTATTATATATATATATATATATATATATACTCAACATTGCTCTTTCCATTGCCCCAATAGGCCTATAACTAAGCCTAGCCTAACAGTCCTATAACTAGATTTACATATTTCTATTATTACTTTGGTTAATATATTAATTAAATGACCAAAGCCATGCTGATAACTTTAACTTATGTCATAATGGAAAATTAATATCATTTATAAGACAGTAAAATTTAGTAGGTACTTCTTAAAATTACCAAAATAACTTTTTGATCAGCTAGATTCTTTTTTGGGAAAAATGACACGCACATGAATTTAGGCAGTTTTAATAGAAAAGTATTTTAAGGACACAAGTAATAACAAACTTTTTAATGTTAAAACTTCTTATTGTTAGATGTAAAGAGACCATGGAATATCTCTGCAAAATGAAAAATAATGTGACTATTTTTACCAAAATGAAAAAGTTAGCTGCTACTACATGTTGGTTTATAACGTTCTTCATCGCTTTCTGACGTCCAATCGCCACTTCGTCCGATCGTTCCATAGGTCCGCTTTCTTTCACCTCTTTATATATTCCTTCTCTTTAAGGTGTTCTCTGTTTAAGGTGTTTTCTTTTGTCTTTTAATTGCCAATTTAGTATTTTTTAGATAGTCAGTTTTCATCCATTCTTTGTATATTTCCGTTCCGGATAAGTTATTTTGTTGACAAATCATCTGAGATTCAATATGAATGACTTTGTCTAATATTCCATTCTGTCAAATATTGATACCTAGATATTTGTAGTAGTAACAGTATTTTATCGTGGGTTCTTTCGTCTAATATGAAATCTTTTTGCTGCCCTCCAATGCACAAGTATTCATTTTTCTTTGTGATGTCTTATATACCCCAGATATCGTACTCTTCAATTAATTTTCGTTCTGTCTAGTTTAAATCGTCATAATCGTGAGCCAATATTACTTATTCGTCTGTAAAGTTCAATTCCTTGATTTTGTGACATCTTTTTCCTATTATGTCGGTTAAGGAGAAAATGTTTTCAATAGTGGATCTTCCCGGACAAAATCCTGCTTGTTCTTCTGCTTCAGAATCTAAAAATTCTTTCTCGAATAAATTGTTTAAAATCTTCCTCTATATTCTTGTCATAGATCCAGTAACAGCTATTTCTCGGTGACTTCCACAATTGTTCTGATCACCTTTTTTATGTAGATAATATTACTGAGATATAATGTTTTTCATTCCTAAGAGATGTCGCTTTTATTTAGGTATTCTTGAAATACAAACAACCAAACTTATATGGAATCACCATGTATTTCAAATGAATATATATTTTTTATTGAAAATGTTTATTGAAAATAAACAAACTAATAAAACAATTACATAACACTGCCCGTACAATTACAAAACGTAAGGAAATAAATATTAAAAATGGTATCAAATTAGAAAAACTGGAAAGAGCCTACACAGAAATTAGTTTAAAAGTACAAAACAAAATACATAATAAACTTCGTGCCCAGTCACAATTTTAAAATTTAGAAACACGAAGTAGAACTTATTAATAAATACATATACCTTATCTCTCTAAATTATCTTAGTTTATTTTATTTTTATATCACTTTTCCCGAAAACTAGAACTCTAATTTCCTTTAGGAGATAAAGATTTGCAATTTTAAAAAGCCATAATCGTGACCATATTATTTCCTTTTAATTTGCCGTTTCAACCTAGTCCTTCAACGTCTTTTACATTATTAAGTAAGTGGAGCGGAAAATAATGCAGGATCTCTCTTTAACGCTAGTTGCCTACTTTTATAGCACAATTATCAAAATTCTGAGCTTATTATCCGGCCATTTGGCATGTGTCCTTAGAAAATAAAAAAGATTTGACCTTAAACGCGTTCAACCTTAGTCTAGGGGATGGCCGATTCAGCATCGTTATTTGCTTGGCTAACATCATGAATAGACCTATTTACATCTGCATAATAAATGTATTTTGGGAAACGAGTAATTAATTTATACACTGTTTTAATGCTTTTATATTATTAAATATTGAATATATTTATTATTTATTACCTTACAAAAACTAATGGAATTTTAAGGTTTTTTAAATCTTATTTTACAATCCATTAATAAAACACATATTTATGTACTACATATTCACTTAAATAATACATTCGTTTATTAACAATTATATGATAAAATTATTAAATATTCCTAAATTTTTTACTTATCATGGTCTTGAACACCACGAAAAAGGCAACTGCCATGGTATTTGTGATGATTTATCAGAAAGTAGACGACAGTGTACCGGAGCTTTTGCTATTCCAGATAGCTGCGATAACGTGAAAAGTGTTTGTAAAAAAAAACGTATTTGAAAATATGCGCAACAAGTCCACAAAAGAACAATACGCTTGTATGGCGTAAAAAGGAATGACATACAACATTCAAGGAAAAATTAGGAGACGTTAAAAAATTTAAATACACTCTTTATGATAGACAGATCGTATAATATCCCATCAATAGCTTCATGCGGGATGAGAGCTACTATAGTCCATCAAAAAACGGAAAAGAATATCTCACTCCTTACTTCAATGTTAATAAGCAATTAAACTATTATCCAGATTTAGCCATACGGCTCACACTCCCTCTAAGGGGAAAATTCACTCATCCCAGATACCTACGGTATCAAAAGGATTGAGCTCTGGTGGGACTCTTTCCATGTTATCGAGTCCTAGGTGACTTGGTACGTCGGTGTATCTCCTAAAAATTTTCGCACGCATCTGGACGTCGAAAGTAGCACAGCTTTCTGCATGACCTTATACAGATGTTCATTTAGACCCAGCTTTTTTATGTTTTCTAGGAGGTTCTTCGGAATGACTCCAGTGGTAGAAAGAATAATCGGTATCGTCTGGGTACTTTCCATTCTCCATTGTCTTCTTATTTGTATTTCCAGATCTCTGTACTTAACGATCTTTTCGTTGTACTTAACTCGCAGATTATTGTTGTTAGGTATCGCCACATCGATTAGAGTTGTTTGTCTTGTTAGTTTATTAACTAGCACGAGATCTGGTCTATTATGTGCTACAGTTTGGTCTGTGAGCACAGTACGATCCCAGTATAGCTTGCAGTTGTCATTCTCAAGCATACTCTCTGGAACGTATTGATAATATGGGAGATGGTTTGTTTGTAGAAGTCCCAGTTTAATAGCTATCTCTTGATGGAGGATCTTCCCTACTGAGTCATGCCGTTCCTTATATTCAGTTGCAGCAAATGCCTGGCAGCCTCCGGTAAGATGTTGGATCGTTTCTTGGGCTTGGCATCCATATCGGCATTTGTCGTTTTGGACCTGAGGGTCTTTGACAATATATTTCAGGTAATTTTTGGTTGGTATAACCTGATCCTGAATGGCGAGTAATGAACCTTCTGTTTCAGGGAACATCTTTCCTGATGTCAGCCAATAGTTCGACGCTATATTGTCGACATAGTCTTGACTGACTTCATTCGGATGTCGCCCGTGCAGAGGTTTACCCATCCAGATGCGCATTTTTTCGTTCTTAGTAACATGGTTTATGCGCATTTCTTGTTCCCTCAGGTTGATCGGTGTTGTGTCATCTACTGCGCAAATCGCGCGATGAAGAGTAGATGTCTGCGCCTGTACCTGAAAATAAGTTCTTAAATTATTAATCTGTTTATCTAATTGTTCGCTTATATCAATAAGTCCTCGTCCTCCTAAATACCGTGGTAATGTCGTTCTTTCTACTGCACTTCGAGGATGGTGTTTTTGTGCCTTTGTGAGGTGTGTTCGTACTTTTCTCTGAAGACTTTCTATATCTGTTTTAGTCCACTTAATAATGCCAAATGAGTAGCTAAGCGCGGAAAATGCGTAGGTGTTTAATGCCTTAAACAAATTTTTACTATTAAGATGTGAGCGGAGTAGCTGTTTTACCCTTCGTATGAACTCTGATGTTAATTCGATTTTCGTTTGTTTATGGTCAATTTTCCGCGCTTGCTTTACTCCTAGATATTTATACATGTCATTTTCGCCCATAGCCTCGATGTTTTGGCCATTTTGCATATCAAATCCCCCGGGCTGAACCTTTCCCTTGACTATATTTAGTACACGACATTTGTCTAACCCAAAATGCATACTGATATCATTTGAAAAAGTTTCTACAGTTTTTAGCATTTGATCTAAGTGAGTTCGAGTGGAAGCCATTAGTTTCAAATCATCCATATACAACAGATGATTAAGCTTCGCCACTACAGTGTTGTTGTTTTTAATGCTAAAACCAATGGAGTCAGTGGAGTTCAATAGCTGGGATAGTGGGTTCATCGCTAGACAGAACCACAAGGGACTCAGCGAATCACCTTGGAATAGGCCGCGGTTAATTGCGATATTTTCTGTTTCGATATTGTTTCCACCAGGTATTTGGAGGTGAATTTTAGTCTTCCAATATGTCATTATATGTCTTAAGAAGGTCACTATATTATCATCGACTTTATATATTCTTAATATATCTACAAGCCATTCATGCGGCACTGAGTCAAAGGCTTTCTTATAGTCAATAAAGGCAGTGAAGAGGTTCCTTTTTTTAGTGTATGCCTGGTTAGAAATGACTGAGTCGATAATAAGTTGTTCTTTGCAACCCATGGAGCCCTTAGCGCATCCTTTCTGTTGAGGTTCTATGATATTGTTTAGAGCGCAGTGTTGGTAGATACGCTGGGCTACACAGGATGTGACCAATTTATACAGAGTTGGAAGACACGTAATTGGGCGGTATTTGGCTGGATCTTGGGTGTTATTTTGATCCTTCGGTATTAAATAAGTTGTTCCCTGAGTTAGGAATGATGGTATTTTCTGCGGATTAGAAATAACACGATTAATTAATGTTGACAGGCACTCATGAGCACTCCAGAACTTCTTAAGCTAGAAGTTTTGAACTCCATCTGGTCCAGGAGATTTCCAGTTATGAAGCTCTTTGATGATATTAGAGACTTCGTCTGTGGTGAAGGGTTCATAAACAGTTGTGCGGTAGTGTTGACAGCTGTGCGTCGTATCTTCTATCCATCCAGCATTGGTGTTAAGAGCAGCTGATGTGGAAAGTTGATTTCTCCAAAACTCCTGAATGTCTTCTTGGCTTGGGTATGATTTATTGGCACTTTCGACAGTGGAATTAAGTTTCCGATAGAACGCCTTCTCGGCATGCTCAAAAGCGCATTGTCACATTTCCGGCTGTTACTAACCTTGTACCTCCTTAGTCGTCCTGAATAAACGGAGAGTTTTTGTTTTAATGTATCCAGGCACTGATGGGCTGTGATGTTTACTGGATCATATTGCGAGTGCCTTGCAGTGCTTAGCATTATTTGATCAGCTCTTTTAATGACTTTTCTACTTGTTGTTCCTCGTATATATTCTGTCATTTGACCAATGTCCCTACGCAGTAATTCAATCTTGTTTAGAAGCCGTTTCTCCCAGGGTGCAACTCTGTTATCAGTCCTTCCGGCATTGGTACCCCGTCGTGTTCTGATCTTAATTCCCATTATATTAGCTGTTGCTGTTGCTGCACAGTAAATAAGCATATAAGCATATAAGCATATAAGCATAAGCAAGATACTGATCAGACAAAAGAAATAAGATGCCGCATTGAAATTGCGCGGTCAACTTTTAACAGAATGAGAAAACTTTTTTGTAATCGCGATATCAATATATCGCTCCGGATAAGAATGCTTCGATGTTATATTTTCTCTACCCTCTTGTATGGAGTTGAAGCTTGGACACTTAAAAAATCCAACATTAAAAACCTAGAAGCATTCGAAATGTGGTGTTACCGACGCATTTTGAAAATATCATGGATGGATCGCAAAACAAACGAACAAGTTCTCGAACAACTAGGAAAACAATGCGAAGTTTTAAATTCCATAAAGATCAGGAAATTGGAATACTTGGGGCACATCATGAGAGGTGAAAAGTACGAACTACTAAGGAACATAATGCAGGGTAAAATCAAAGGTAAAAGAAGCGTAGGAAGACGTAAAATCTCGTGGCTACGCAATCTCCGTGAGTGGTTTGGATGCAGTTCAATTGAACTATTCAGGCGAGTAACCAATAAAATTATAATTGCCAGAATGATTTCCAATCTCCGATAGGAGTGGAACTTGAAGAAGAAGAAGAAGAAAGAAATAAGCATAGGCAAATATTCCAGCGTATGGGCTTCTACGACGTAATTGGGTAGGACTTCAGTATTTATAATTTGTAACAGAGCACCTAGTTTTTTAGAAGAGTTTATTTTTGGTAGCGGTGGTCTGCTAAGTGGATTTGTTCCATTAAACTCTTGTACAGCTCGTGCCATTTCGCTTACCAGAGTATCGCGTAACTCGTTGTTGTCCTGTAGTGTATAATCAGGTTGAGTTTCTTGTATGGTAAGCTCAGGAATCTGCTCACGTCTCTCATTAGGGACTTGATCTACATTTACCTCTTGGTGATTAATCTCCCGTTCGACTTCGCTTCTGATGGTATTGCGTCTAGCCTCTGGGATAAGATTATTTCTTATAATTACCCGGTATTGATCAGCAACTCGTTGTTCAGTTACTTGAATTTCTGGGTACTCCCTGCAAAATTCGGCATAGAGGTTTTGTCGATACCCGATCGTTTCTTGACCAAGGTTTGTCACCTGGTAATAGAAGCGCAATATATTCTCATTTATGGACGCAGTCCATTTCATGCGCTGTCTCGGTCGTCCCGCTTGGGTGAGCGCCGGCTGATGTTCCAGCGCAGCACCTTCAGCGAGTGGAGCTCTTGTTGTTGTTTGGCTCGCTTGTGGTTGTTCTTGCTGTTGTTGTTGCTATTAACTATTATTATTACTACTATTATTTTTCGGCATTTTCTTCCTCAAAGGCTAAATTAACTCATCACAGATGCCTAGTTTGACCTGCAAGTAATGAGGTCTCTAGATCATCTTTCTGTGTTATCAGTGATTTAGTATTCAAGAGTATCCCATACTAATTTTTTAAGACACCAACAACAAACTTTTTGAATTTGTTTGAATAGTTTAACCAATATATTCCTAATAATACTCGGAGTATTTTTCGTGTGAATAATATAGATTTTTTTTGTTATACATATTTATATATATGCGTATACTAATTTTGTGTTTATGTTCCAGGTTTTCCCGCTGCGGCATATGCCGCCTATGCGGCCGGTCGAGGTTACTCGGGCTACCCTAGTTTCGGACTGCCGTACCCAGCAGGTAATGCCTTAACCAGTTTGCATCACCACCACCCACTGCAGTTGTTGTCCTACCCCCTAGATCACCCTCTAGGTGTGTACGGCAACGCTGCAGCTGCCAGCCTGCATGCCATGCCCTTGTGAACGTTCGGCAATACGACACGATAACTCGCCCGTCAGTTGTCAGTTGTCTCTCTAAATGTTGTTCATTAAATAACAACCAGTTTATGTCGACAATAATGTCGGCGGAGGTATTTTGTTTACTGTTTGTTTTATTTGTCCAAAGAGTAATTATTAAATACACTGTCAGTAATAGGTATCTCTCTTTTTCTGATTTTATAGAAGTTTGGCAACATTAATGTGGTACTTCTAGTCCATTTTGTATTGTTTGTATTATCATGAGTAAATTATTAAATACAGACAATAAATAATTTTATACAAAGTCGATTTAGATTGTTTAATAAAAGTTTCATATTTCATATTTTTTCTTGAGTATTATTAGTGAATAATACGTAAACTTTTATTTTTTTAGTAATTTATAAAATGACAGAATTGACATTATTTTGCAAGATTACATATTAACCGTAATAATTTATAGGGGTATTTTTGATAAGACGTATTGTTTTAATGTGCCTCATGATTCTTAAAGTAACCACCGTAACTGCATTGATTTTAGTACGTTATCCTAATTTTGAATAATAATTACGCGATCCCAGTTTTACTAAAATTTTTTTTCTGTTTCTGAGCTCCCCTTTATTTCTGTTTATTATACCATATTCTTTTTCGAGATTATGACCAGCTTATTTAGACTGCTCGGGCTATTTCGTAATTTCTTTTCACACATAATACAACTTTCGTAACTTTGGTTTTATTATATCTTTGTTCGTTTTTCTTCTCTACTAAATATTTTTATTCTAAAGTGGTTAGTCCAGTCGGCAGAGAGTTGACCCGTAAAAATCATACGACTAAACTGAATTTTGCAGTGAACAATAATTATGGGACCGCAAAAAAGTTTACTACTTTTACCCCCAGATTTCCCCCTAAAACCTCACTTGCAGAAAAACAAAAAAAAAATCTATTTACCAAGAATCTGTACAGCGTAGTAAAAAATGTTTCAATCAACAAATATAGCTGAGATAATTTTAAACAAAAATGTTAATAAGCTTTTTTGTGTAGAATAAATCGTTATCTTAGAACCAACGCTCGAAGCCACTATCGATTTTGCAGGTGAGTTACGCGCGTGAAATAAATGTTCAATAAAATTTGTATCAGCTCGACGGTAAAAATTCGATATGTTTTGATTCAAATGTACTATCGACAAAAATCAAAATGCGTTTTAAAGGCAAAGAGTGCAGCTTTCGTATGAAGATATTGTATTTTCCCGAAAAGAAACTTAATTTTTATAAAGGTGTTAAATAATTTAACGTGGCGCGATTTTTGCTATTTTTTTAGATTCTAGTGAGATCAATAAAATTGGTGGCTTTCATTGACCAGTTGTAGTAAAACTTACATTCTTAGAGACTAATCTTTATAACCTATACGAAATATGAATAAAACACGCAGAATGTTTTAGATTACTAACGATTACACGTCACGGTAAATGCATTTAAGAAGAGATTTTGAGTGTAGTTTATTGCAGGAATTTTGTTCTTTAAAAAATCGTACTAGTGTAATTGGAAAAAGGGTTTAAATGTTTTAGATCGTTTGTTGTGTAAAAGTTTAAATCTAGCGTTTTTATGCCAAAACCTAAAACTAAAATGTCATGCCTTAGGTTTTAAGGGTTACGCTTTAGTAATCGAAACTTTATAGTGGTCAGTCAATGAAAGGAATAAATGGTATTGATATCGTGAGAATCATAAAAGTTGATTACGAGAAGAGTGTATTTACGGCAAAATACAAAACTGCATACGAAAGCTGAACTTTTTGCCTTTCAATTATATCTTGATTTTTGTCGATATGTCACTTGAATCAAAAAATGTCGAATTTTTACCGTCGAGCTGATAGAAATTTCATTGAACATTAATTACGCTAGCGTAACTAACATGCAAAATCGACGGTCGCTTTAAGCGTTGTTTCTAAGAAAATGGTTCATTCTACACAAAAAATGCTTATAAACATTGTTGTTTAAAATTATTTCAGCTACATTTTCTATTTGAAAAATTTTTTCTGCGGTGTACAGATTCTTGGTAAATTAATTTTTTAAGGGGAAGCCCGGGTGTAGAAGTGATAAACTTTTTTGCAACTTTTTGGGGTCCCAAAGTTAATATCCTTGTCAAAATTCAGCTTTTTCGTATGATTTTTAGGGGATCAGCGGCATTTTCGTCTTTGACTGGAGTAAGTCAGCATCTACAATTATATTACTATTGGCTTATAACATGTAATTTAAATATAATATTGTATACAAATATGAATTAAAGAAATGTACATTGTGAAAGTTTCACTACGAATCCTTTATGTTTATAAACATAACATTATAAAATCCTTTATTATTTTATAAAAAAAATGTATATCGTAACCTATATAAGCCAGCACATTGCAGTTGGAGGTAGTTTAGTTTAAATAACGTGGTAAATAATTTTGTGTATTTTTTCTCTTACATAGCGCAAAGCACATAAGAATCATAATATGTACTTTTCAAAATAATAGAACAAAGTGTTTAATTATATAACATGGATTATACGGTTAATATTATTTAAACATTTTAAAATAAATGAACTTTTGATTCGCAAGTATTTTAGCGAGATATAGGTACTTCAATATTTTTATTTAGTTTTGTGTTTATTAATAAAAATGGACTAGAGAAAACTACATTTCCCCCCATACTAGCTTAAACTAATACTTCTCTAGCTAGAAAAATAATACACGTTTAGGTATAGCTTAGACTAGGAATAAATAAGTAAAAAGACAAGTAATTCTTTTAGGTTAGGTAAAAGTTGGAGTTGTGTACGTTAGTAATTCCCCTCCCCCGCCGTTCTACCAGATGTTTAGTGTCTGATTTTAGTGCAAGCTATGAATTATGTATTGTTTTAAGACGCCATTTAAGCAACAGTGTGCTTGTTGCCTAAAATCCTGGATAGTGTCAATGAATGCTACAAGAAGGATGTCAAGACTAGTCTTAAATATTATCGAGAATGACTTTTTTATATTTACATGTTTTGGAAAAAATATTTTAGGTAAATATGTACATACTCGCATAACTCATTCACTACAAACATGGTCTTTTTATGGCAATTCATTTTAGAATAAAATCTCCGTTTTGTGTACTATTTTTTTAAGATTACGCTACTGGTAACAATGGATATTAAATATGTACTTCAAGAAATCTTTTGTTGTTTAATAAACATTCAAGTCCCAGACGAAATCATAACTTATTTAATTAACAAAGGTTAAAAAATTTACGCCTCTAGCACTGAATGGTACACATATCTATCTTACTTTCTGCGATATCATAGTTTTCGATCAGTTTTTTATTTACTCGTTATATTTTCGTAAGTCCATAAAACACTGTTTTTGATATTTATTTCTTATATCGTTATCTAGTGAGTTTTTAACATTTAGGACACGTTTGTCTTCCCTAAAATGCACGCTAAATTTGTTTTTGTCAAATCTTGAATTTTCACATTTTGTTTATTGATTTTAAGATTTACTTCTACGGTTGGAGACATCAATATAATAACTAATTTTTTCCCGTACTAAATTCTATTGAAACCTATTATGTCTAATGGTAGTTCTCTCGTTTCTTTACGTAACACTTCATTGACATATCTAATTTAGGGATTTTTGGTAAAACGGTTACGCACACTCATTCCAATTTTTGTGATCAGTAAATTCATGTTTTTCAAATGTTAGTACAAGCACATCTTAAAAAAATGTAATTATTTTTGAAAAATTATGAATTTATGATATTCGGGTAAGAAAATTAGGTGTTTGATCCGGTCTGTGTTTTAGATTCACATATCGTTTAGATTCGTATGAGTACTTCGGATTCTTCTTCAGTAAGCAATAAATACATGTATATCTTATACATATTACGAGCAGTATGATATTTATTAGCTAACTTACGAAAAATTATTAAGTTTTTAATATTGTATTTTATTTGTAAATTTAATTTGAAGTAATATTAGCATTACTAAAATTTTTTACCTCTGCAAAATTTTTTACGAAATTGGGTTGAATATTTATTTTGTGTTTTATATAAGTTTCTATTTTATTGTGAATTATAGACTATTGATATTTACTTTTAAACATCTATTTTACCCTATTTCCAACATTTTACGGTATTGGTATGGAAGATATAATATTATCACCCAGCAAGTTGAGGGTTACATGTGACTACAAATATGTTGTTTGGGTTGCTTTTTTCAGAGTTAAAGGTTTTTACGTGTAAATATCATAACGGATTAACTATTTAGAATTTTTATGATTGGCCATCTCCTATATATTGTTCTGAAGCTATTTGCTTGTGGCTTAATGCAATCAATTACTATTTTCGTTGGGAAGAAGCCGCAATATAATTTTAAAAAAGTTTATTTTTGACATTTAAATTTCCTCTTCAAACCAAACTATTTGACTTAACAGGTGTCCAAACATGGTTTGGACACCTGTTAAGAATGCCTGACGAACGTTGGCCCCAAAAACTTCACAGATGGAAGCCCCCTGGTAGAAGAAAAAGAGGTAGACCTCGACGCTCATGGAATGAAGGTATTAGAAGAGCAATGGAATCGAGAGGTTTGGAGGAGGAGCATGCCTTGGACCGAGAGGATTGGCGGAGGAGGACGGGAATACGGCGATAGCCGTCTCCAAGATGTATTCTATTTACAAATTGGATCCTGTAATATATATATACATACATATATATATATATATATATATATATATATATATATATATATATATATATAAATTTCCTCTTTTAAAATCCATCCCAAAATACAAACATTAATAAATTATGTTTTTATTTTGAGATATTATTATGTTTTTATTTATATTATTATGAGAGGGCCATGTTAAATATAAGCCTCAGAGACAAAATTCGTAACACCGAAATACGCCGAAGAACTAGAGTAACCGACATCATGGGAACAATAGCGACATTGAGATGGCAATGGGTAGCACATGTAGCAAGACAAGACACCAAGAGATGG